ACTGTATATATCGACACATCTTAATTATCACAGTAATATACACCTTGTCTAACTCTACCTATAGGTAAGTTGAGCGGTATTGTATAGCCATGTCTGCTGTTATGACTTAATCTCCTTACCTTTTGTTTCTACTCGTACTGTGTGTATTGACATGTCTTGTTAACTTGCACCAACAATGTTTATACAGTCACATATGCACTCCCACAGACATGCATACATGCATACATGTTGGAAATCAAGTCATGGTCTCGTGCATGTGTGCTACACATATCATTACTGTGACAGAATCTAACAATTGCTCTGTTTATGTTTACAAATACATTGTATAAAATTGTATTCCACATTAACTCTACACAAAATATATGTGTGTAGCAGAGCTTGAACTTTCAGATGGGTGCTTTCTCAACTCTGAAGTTCAAGTCCTGATGTATTATCCTGAATATAAAGAAAGAAATTTGCTTACCTTGTGATGCCACTAGAACGGTTTGTATCGTGAAACCTGAATGATCACAGTAGTATACACCAGGTAGATCAGAGCCTGCTTGGATGGTTATCCTCCTTTGATTACCATTCTTGTTCTCATAAAGCACATCACTTGGCAGAGCATTCCCTGTGCCTGTATTTATTACTCTACCAAATGTAAATGATGTTGTCTCATCACTCCCAGCTGAGAATCCACCAATAAAAGTACTGTCAGTCTTACTTGGTAATGCTTCTTTATTGAAGAATGTGATATCCTTGTATGCAACTGCTGAAATAATTACAGTGCAATCAAAAAAAGTATTAAATATAGAATGTATTAATGTGATAAAGCGTCAATGACAAATATATCAAAATGTTATATAAGGTCACTCTTGGTTAACTTGGCTCTGTGTATAACAATATTCAGTAAATGACGTACCCACGTGTAATATAATTGGTACAATCAGTAGGGTCCACATTTTGAAACATACACTATGTGTGCACGTATGTTAGTATGACAAGTGCTATTAATTTAGAACAGAAAAATCACTGAATAAAGTTAATCTGTAGCGAGACATGGATTTTTATTCATTTGAAAAAGCGATTACACGAGAAATCTTTATTTATTGTAGTTTATTGTGCACCTGATTGCAATAAATCAGAATGACGGGACTGGACGTTTAGACTTAATAGTTAAACCAGTAGAGTCATTTCTAGCCTACTTTGGAATACTTGAAGACTCCGTAAATTATTACCTCGAAGAATCGCATGCCAATGATTCAACGAACTCACCGACAACACATTGAAAACAGGAGAAGAAGGTTTTTGAGGTACGGATATACAAACTCGCTTGATTTGTGTTGTAACCTATATATTTTGTTATACTGCCTTCATGTAACGATTGTGATTATCAGTTCCGTTTTACTTATATGAAGTGTTGAAACAGGTATGATTGTAACGCACATTTGTTTTTACATAGAGGTCAATTTCACGGAGTTGCGTTACACTGTTTATTGAACTGTCATCCAAATATTTACTCCAATCGCAGCGTATCTTGGGGAAGATTAAATTTGTCTGTTGACAAATGTCACGTTTTTCGGGAAACATACCATAGTAATTTACCGTTTGCATAAAACATCCACCCGATTTCTAAATTCTGTCAATGTGAACACATCTTATATTAGTTCTGTTAGACCTGACAAATGCAGATCAAGGCATTCAACACTGTATATTGCAAAAGCCATCATATTTCGGTTCTGACAATTAGTTTTCCTATTGTGATGAAATGTATGTAAAACTTGAGTTTGTGTTTGTTGTTGCTAAGTTCAATAGTTCGTACTCGCTATCATACACAGTTATCTAATTTTTACTCTTGGCAATAACCTATGACCAATCTGTATTGAGAAAGGCAATTTCGTCTTAGTTCGGCGATATTTAAGCACATATATTAACATATATGAACAAAACGTGTCATTAAACACTTTGTCCGAACCAACAAAACATATAAACATATAAACACTTTTATATAAATATACTATTTGTCCCGGAATAAAATAATACATTAGCGAATTTTGTTTCAAACGTTGGCTAAGGTCATTGAGAATTACCAAAAAAACATCAAGATTGGGCAATTTTTGGGAATTTTTTTTTAGAGCATGTTGAAGATTTATTGTTTTTTAGCACTTATTTTACCTACTAGCAACTATCCAACCATGCAATAACCTCTAATTACCATTGAAATGTATTAATATATAGCAACACTATTTTGAAAACAATGATTGAAATATAAATCTGCATCTGTAACAGATCAATGCAGCATGCATGATGACGTCATATACATGATGGCGTCATTGCTGACGTCAGAAGTCCGTCGACATTGTAAAGCCGATGTCTTTTGAAAGCTAGTAGTCCAGTCAATCTAATTTTTAGGTCGACCCAGACAAAATTGCAACAGAAAGTTTCTTTGCAGATTTAGCAACAATAGACGTCTATATAACAACAAATCAAAAGTCTACCAAAATCGGACAAAAGGAAAGTTTTTTTTTCATGTATTGATATTGCCCATATAATGGAAATATTAAGTTATTTTATTGATGCAGTAAGACGTATATAAACAAATGTATATGGGATAATAATGGGGAGGAAAATAGCGCCTCTATATGCATGTACAGCGCAGGGTCTGGTATTAGTCCTGTTTCATTGGCATTTTATCAGTATAAATTTCACACAATATAGAAAACTCTGCGATTATTGCTCATATATCATTTTCATTATTTAAAAGTAAACTTTCAGGAATATTTCGAGCATATTTAGATCCATCATTCGCCTAATCAACATGATACTTTGCTGCAGTCGGTCTCCATAACTCAAAGCTCCCACATATTATACATCTGCATAAAAACGTATATGTGATTGTATCCTGTAAAGATTGGTGATACAATGGTAATACTTGTATATATGAAGGACATTTCACAGTTACAGGTATGTGGAATGTGGTAATGATCACATAATGAAGGGGGCTCATATCAAGGTTTGATGTGGACTTGTCCAGATTGGGTGAATTTCTGCAGCTTACACCTCTAAATTTATCACACATGGGGAGCATTCTAGTCCATGTTTTTTATATGTGCAACGTTTTTGTTCGACAGTCTGCTTTACATTTACATCTGATAACTTTTAGTAATTTGGATAGCAAGCAAATTTCCCTTCATCACATTCCAGCTCCATTCTTCCTGGATTGCCCTTTCCACATCAGAACCTGGTGGTATACATGTTTGACTATTGTAACCTACAACTTTAAATGTAACGCTTGTAGCAACATTCTGCAATATTTTATTTTCCATTCTGAGTGAATCCAATGTTTCATCGGACTTGCCACCATATAAAAGGACCAAAGCTGTTTCTCTTGACTCCACAATGTCGTCTTTTGAAGCATCATCTGTGTCCTCACTTACAACTACCATTGGTGTATTGACAGCAGTGTCTACAACTGTCATCACTATAAGGACATCTGCATCTTCTTCAGCATGGCGAACCTTGATTCCCTTCACTTCCAGTTCTTTTCCCAGGATATTAATGAACCGCCGTTTATTTGCTGCATTTACAAGGAACTGTTGTTTCTTCATATTCATGATCATGTCAGAATCAAAGTTAATACTAGTAGACATTTTCCCTATTAAACGCCTAAGTTGAGTTATGTCTTTTGTTGATGGTCTATCTGGATATCCATCAAAAACAACTGTTGATTCTTTACCATATTTGCGGTCAAGGTAATCAAGGTAAAGTTTGCAGATGTTAGTCCTCGTGGCCATGGAATTCTCAGTAAATGTGAAGTTCCATCAATAACATACTTAACCTCAATGGACATGTCACTAGTAATGGAACCAACACATTTCCAGATTGCTTCAGTTAAAGCTGGCTTGTTTGCTTCCTGCATAAGACCATCAGAGGCAAACAATGCTGGTTGCTGAGTACACAGCTCATAGGTGAAAAGACTGGACAACTCGTCTGTTGACACAATTCCCCTTGCAATAAAAACAAGTCGTTGACATAGCAACTGGGGATCAACTTGTACTTCATCTGCATCAAGCTTTAATGATGTTTTCACACTTAGTGTTTTAGCCTGTTCTTTTTCAGTAGATGAAAAATCAGTCGCGCTTTTCCGATCATAGACTTTATTATTTTAGCACCAATAGACCTCGCATTATCGACATGTACTGTGTCATCAGCTACAACTCCAGTAGCTATACTACATAGAGAATAGTTGTTCGTGTGCTTCATCAGTGAACAAGCCAAGAAGTATGTTGTAACACCAGTGCCCAGCTTCGACCATCACTTGTGATGTAAGAAACACCAGTGAATTCTTGCATTGCACGGTTGACTTCTGCACATACAGGTGCTGATAGTAGCCAAACGGTATGTTGTATTTCCGTCATACCTCTACCCCTTGTCAGTCCACCACTTGTTTTGACACTTCTCATCAACACTAGCAAATGCAAGATCAGTCGGTATTTCTGCCCAGTACCTGTCTGTCCGCCTAACCACATGGTACCCATTCAGGAGTGATCGAAATTCATCAGCATTACTTACTGGTAGTTTTGACATAATCTGAAGATATATGTACACTGACTTTGCATACAGATTATGGCCAGGTGCAGCAAAGTATGAAAGCATGTCTGAAAAAGCCTTTAGATGGAGAGACCAGTTACCAGCTCTTTCAGCTTTAATGAACTGCTGAAGTATTTCAATCATATATATGTACTGTAACCATAACTTGATGTTCTAAGGGAAGCGAGTGTTGAATTGGTTGATTTTTCCTGTATTAGAGTCAGTACTTCCGCCGAAAAAAAATTCTATCTCTGTCTCGTGTGCAAGCAGCCTCTCTAGGATGGCCCCTGCTTCGTTCAACTCATTTGTTGTATCTTCTGTTTGTGACTGATTTGCATTACTTGAATCGCCATGTTCGGGTATATCTGTTAATTCACTAGCACTGGTATCTTCTTGGTTTTTTTTCTTGGTAATGGAAGGTTATACATCATTGACAAAAGCAATGCATATAATGTTGCTTCCACTAGAATTGGATCCCTAATAGCCCTGGCAATCGCTTTGCCACTCAACATATGTCCAACAGCATTCTCGGCACAAATTGTCTCCAATAGTACCTTAAGTCCAGATTCACCCATCAATTTTCAAGTGCAACCCAGAAAACTCATTTGCACATGCAGACCACCCAGTCTGAGAATAATATTATTCTCACTGCTACTTGTGGGCTCATTCTGTTGGTTTTCCAGTGATTTCCACCACAAAGGCTGCTTGAAGGGGGCGTTGGTGTTACATCATACTTCTTGGCTTGTGCACTGATAAAGCACATAGTTGAGAAGATACATAGTTCATCAGTTGATTTCATATCGATTGGCATGAACACTATAGATGAGACCCCAGAATGAGGACCTTGATGTACTATTTGCATAAAGCCACTCCAAGATGGTCTAGATAGATGTAACAACCAAGAGATTTTCCACAGAAGATCCACATTCAATGTATCATCACCTACTATCAAACTGGGTAACTGGGCATACTTTAATTTGGCCATGCCATTTGATAACTTCTTATAATATTTAATATTGACTTTTGCAACAGAAACTATATCCTCGGATGTGACTTAAACATTAAGTATGGTGTTGTTCCACAATATCACTGGTGTTATGGTCGTTATTATGCCTATACCATGTGTTCAGCCCGTCAATGGTCCGGAAATTATGGTCAACATTATCAGCTACATGTTGTATAAAATATCCGGTTCTGAAACCAGGAATGTCAGTTCCTTGGTGCAAGGTGGCACTACGTTCAAACTTCTGTAACTTTGCATATAATGAACAAAACCCATGACTATGGAGAGAATCAATGAGAAATCGTGAGCCAAACTGGCGATGCATTTGAACAGCAAGTCATGTAGTGTAGTCACTGTAACTCTTGGGCG